GTGTATTGTCTGGGCCTCAAAGTTAGAATCTTTAAGCTAGACAGTAAGCGGTAGGTGTGGCTCCTCAAAGGAATAGTCAAGACGGATTCATATGGTGCTCTTGGCAATACATTTTTTTATCTTACTCTTACTTTTAATTAGAAGAACTGATTTAATAGGAATTCATCTCAGACTTTATCAGGAGAATCTTACTGTCCCAACATGGGGTAGACAGAGCTAAGTGACTGTGTTACATGGCTGTCCGAGCCACCCCAGGGACTGGATGGAAAGTTTAGAGAAAGGAGGGATTTGGGCCTGGGCACATATAACAAAAAGTATATAGTGACCCGGCATTGGCTATACCTCATTGTCAGAACTGAGCCAAGCCTCTCCTGGTTCTGCAGTATCTGCAGTACCACTGCCAAGGAGGACCACTGCACTTTCAGTAGAAGTCCTGGTTCAGGGGAAACCTGGGTGGCTCAGTCAGATGAGGATCTGACTCTTGATTTCAGCTCAAGTCATGATCCCAGGATCATGAGATTGAGCCCTGTGTCAGGCTCTGCACTGAGCATGGAGCAGCCCCTCCTTCCTCATGCTCGCTCACTCTCTCTCCCTCTAAAGCAAAAAGGGGGGGGGGAGAATTCCTGGTGCCATATGAAGGCAGTCTGCAAGACCATTAGACAGGGAAGACTACAAAGAGTGAAGTCAGGGGATGGGAGTTCAAAGAGTAAATGAAAGCATCTTTTAAAATGGAACGTGAATGGGGCCCCTGGGTGGCTTAGTCAGTTAAGCGTCTGACTTTCGCTTAGGTCATGATCTCGCAGTTCGTGGGTTCGAGCCCCGCGTCGGGCTCTGTGCTGACTGCCAGCTCAGAGCCTGGAGCCTGTTTCAGTCTGTGACTCCCTCTCTCTCTGACCCTCCCATGATCACGCTGTCTCTCTCTCTCTCTCTCTCCTAGAAATAAATAAAACATTTAAAAAATAAATAAATGGAATCCTTATGATTTTCTTAATCACACCTTCCTATCTCTAGCTTTCCTGTACAAATACAGTATATAATATACACAGCATACAAAATATGTGTTAATTAACTATTTATGTTACTGTTAAGGCTTCTAGTCAACAGTAGGCTAGTAGCAGCTAAGATTTAAGGGGTCAAAAATTATACCTGCAGATTTTTGACTGTGCAGAGGTCAGCATCCCTAATCCTGATGTTTTTCAAGGAACAACTGTATTGATCATTGGGGGGGGTGGGGGGAAGAAAGAAAAGCTAATCTTTATGCATCATTTTTAAAAAGGTAAACTAAAGGGCACCTGGGTGGCTCAGTCGATTAAGCATCTAACTTCAGCTCAGGTCATGATCTCACAGTTCGTGAGTTTGAGCCCCTCATTGGGCTCTGTGCTGACAGCTCAGAGGCTGGAGCCTGCTTCAAATTCTGTGTCTCTCTCTTTCTGCCCCTCTACCACCTCTCTCTCTCTCTCTCTCTCTCTCTCTCTCTCAAGAATAAATAAACATTAAAACAATTTTAAAAGGTAAACTAAAATCTTTAAGGTGATTCTCAAGTTCATATGACAGAGCAAAGGATCAAGAACAGCTAAGAGTTTTGAAGAATGAGGAAAAGGTGTTTGCCTTACCACATATATAGACCCATTCCAAATTATACTAGGAAAGACTGAAGTGTTGGTGCAGGGGAAAGGCAAATAGACAAGTGAAACAAAGTGACCCAGAAATAGATTCACCCATATATGGAAACTTGAAATATAAGAGAAGACACCACAAATAGGGGGATAAGGTAACATCTTCAATAAATTGAACCAGGACAACTGGTTATTCTTAAGGAAAAAAATGAAATTTGATATGTTCCCATGTATAAAAATCAGTTACCACTGGGTTAAAAACATAAGTGTAAAAAAGAAAAACTTTAATGCTGTCATTTAAAAAAGAAGAAGAAGACTATTCTCCCTTGGGTATAGAGGGACCTTTTAGAAAAGACAACAAAATACAAACATGAAGGAGAAAGATTGATGTGACTATATTAAAATTTGAAATTTCATGTCTCAGAATGTTCTATAAATAAAGCAAAAGACATGTGTTAGATTTAGAGAAGATATTTGTAATGGATGTAACTGACAATGATTGGTATCCAGCATAGAAAAAAATTCCCACAAGTCAGGAAGGAAGAAACAATCTAATGTAAGTATCAGCAAAGGATATGGTTAAGCAATTTATGGATCAGGAAATATGAGTGGCCTGTAAACATATGAGAAGATCTTCAACCTCACTAGTAATCATACTAATGTATTTTCTAACATTCCAGGCTTATCAGATAGGCAGATGTTAAAAAGGATGAAAAGACTATACGTTGGCAAAGATGTGGGGACCCAGCACTCTTGCATTGCTGGTGGGCACATCATTTGATGTAGGCACTCAGGAGAGCTATTTTGCATAATCTGATGAAGTCCCAAGCATACCTAAACACCTAGAAATTCTTCCTCTGGCATGTGCTTTAGAGAAATACTCTTCTAAAAAATGCACAAGGAAGCACATATAAGAATGGCTATTTTAACACTTTGTTAAGGTAAAAATTATAAACAAACTAAATATTCATCAAACGGGAGTATATGCTGCATGATGTAATAGTATACAACAGTTAACAAGTCAGTGAGCTAAAGCTGTGAGTATCAACATGGACAAATTTCTCACAGACATTGTTGAGGAAGACGCAAAAGTATATGCACGTTTATATAATATCCTTTTATAGAAACCATGTAGAACAGTAATTACATGCAATTTATGGATCCATAATGTGTAATAAATTATATAATTTTTTTTTTTGAAAGAAAGAGAGTGTGAATAGGAGACAGGGGAAAGAGAGAGAGAGCATGAGAATCTTAGGCAAGCTCAATACCCAGAGCTGAGCCTGACACGGGGCTCAGTCTCATAACCATGAGATCACGACCTGAGCCAAAAATCAAGAGTCAGACCCTCAACCAACTGAGCCATGCAGGTGCCCAAAATTACATAATTTTGAAGCATGTTTTTAAACACTTGAGTCATGATAAAGGTTACCTCTAAAGAAGTATGTGAATGGATGGAGGGATTCACAAATAGATAAGGGTCAGCAAAGGAAGCAAAATGTTAAAATTTGATAAATTTGAGTTGCAGCTACATGGGTATTCATTACACTGGATTCTGTACTTGTTTGTATACTTGAGATATGCATTGTAAACAGTTTAAAAATAAATTATCAGCAAGTTCTTGAATGAAGTGTGTGTATGGGGGTGAGGGGAGGGGAGGTGTTTATAATTTTGAGTCGACAAGAATATATGGAATTCTCTCTAAAAATTCTCTAATATAGGGCACCTGGGTGGCTCAGTAGGTTAAGCGTCCAGCTTTGGCTCAGGTCATGATCTCATGGTTCATGAGTTTGGGCCCTGCATCAGGTTCTGTGCTGATAGCTCAGAGCCTGCCGCCTGCTTCGGATTCTGTGTCTCCCTTTCTCTGTTCTTTCCTTGCTTGCACTCTGTCTCTCTCTGTCTCTCTCAAAAATAAATAAAGATTTTTAAAAATTTTTTAAATTCTCTAATATATCCTGGATCTTGCTCATGGGAAAGTCTTTTCAAACAGCCTTGTCATAAGGATCTGGTATTTTAATAAAAACAAACCTGTCAGTTTCCGATCTGTTAGTAAGTTAAAATACCTAAGTATTACAGAGAATCAGAAAATTAATTTATCTTCATAGATCTCGTCTAACATCAACATTCTGAGAGCTACATATCTTTTAAATGTGATAAGTTGTATTGAAACTCAAGCATAAAATCATAAAATGAATATAAACTTTTATTTTTGGCTTAAATTTAAAGAAATGCCCAGTAATGAAACAATTAGTCTTAAGTCTGATTTTGTTCTCAGGCCTCTTATAACTATTATTTTAATTTTGCCTAGACTAAGTTTATTTTATATGATATAGTTCATTACTTTATTTTCTCTGGGAAAACCTTACCTGGATTTGAACTAATGTTTTGTATTGTCATCGACACATCCTTCGTCCTTTCTCCAGCTGATACTGTTCAGGTTTTGGACACTTGGAACAGATTAAACAGAGGTTGTACACTGTCATTGTCATTTTTTTTACATACAATTTAGTTAAAATGTTTAGAAAGAAATTTTGCCACGTAAGTTTGAGTAGTTTTTTTCTTAATAGGAAAAAACAACCTAGAAATGTGAATGTTTTGCTGCTGTTTTTGGTAATTTTTTATGGCAGGCATTTCATCAAATGAAGTTATGACCAGAGACACTTGAGGTGCCATGATTATGTAGCAGTCTAGTATATCTTTGGTTTCTTCAGTGGTGAAACCTTTTTCATCGCATAGAATAGATGGGCTTAAATGGCAGGAACATGACTAGAAAGTGCACGTTATATATGTTTCAGTCAGCATGTTGCTAGTGACAGGTGCTCAATGGTTGTTGGTATCCTTGTCAGCAAAGAGAACCCTTTGACATTAATGTCACCAGCTCAGTCCTGATTTGGGGTGACTCTATTGGCAGCTCCATCAGGCAGCAGCTGATCAGTGAATGTCAGAGCTGCCGCTGTTCTTCACAGTGTCATGGGCCCTCTCTGGGTTTTTGGTGTTGGGGTTTTTTTATTGTTGTTTGTTTGTTTGTTTGAGGGGTGGGGTTAAGATTGTCTTGCTGTTCATTCTTAACCAGACTTTCAAATTGCTTACCTTTGGGAGATGAGCCGAGAGGTCACAGAAAATATAGGTGTCTGTGGGGCTCATGAAGCCATCTACAACGTGGTGACTTACATGGAAACTAGTAATGATTACCTTGACTTCAAGCCAATCAATGGCAGGAGCACCTGGGGACTCATTAAACGGCATTTGTGGTGTCTGTAACCTCAGGTTTGAGCTCTGTCTCAGGAAAAGCAGTGACAGCCTTTAATGTCTAATTGACCTCTTCTCTTTGTTTCGCTTTCTTTCACTTTCCATATTTGCCACCAATGGGGTCCCTGATGGCAGCAAACAGCGCTGCTCAGCATTTTGAACTTCTGTTCAGAGCTTCAGCACCTTAGTCTGGGCAGTTGTGTAATGGTAAGTATTTGAAATGTCTTTATTCACCATCATTTCTGCTCTTTTTCTTCCCCTGGGTGAATTTTATCCTGACCCACCCACTCCACGCTCACCCATGGCTTTTCAGATTTATGGCGAACTACTGTGTACTGTACTGTCAAACATTTTTCTTAAATTCGAGAGTATGTCTTTGGAACATCGACATTATTTATCCATGAGAGCAAGGCAAGTCATGTGTTGTGGTAAAAAGAATTTGGTTCTGCCTCGAACCAGATGCTAGTTCAGACAAGCTATCTACGTTTCTGGATTTTCTTTACAAAATAAGATATCAGTCATACCCAAATGCTGGTAGTCCAGTAAGTTTGTCACAAAGCTAATTTTAGTTTTTCTAAAATTTTTTTTTATTTTAATGTTTATTTTTAGTTTTGAGACATAGAGAGATAGAATGTGAGTAGGGAAGGGGCAGATAGAGAGAGGGAGACACAGAATCTGAAGCAGGCTCCAGGCTCCGAGCTGTCAGCACAGAGCCCGACGTGGGGCTTGAAATCACAAACTGTGAGATCATGACCTGAGTGGAAGTCAGATGCCCAACCGACTGAGCCACCCAGGTGCCCCTAATTTTAGTTTTTAAGTTTTGAAGTTATTTCCTAGAAATGTTGCTAATAATAGGTAGGTTTATCTTGTTTTGTTTGTTTTGCTGTTGCTGTTGTTTTTGGTGTGTGTTTGTTTTACTGTCCTTACTGGTTAAGGTAAGTGGACACCCTGTGTTAGAACTGAAATTTTTTTGAAATGTTAATGGTCCATTAAATCCAAATGTCTAGGGACTGTTGGACTAGATAACCTTTAAAGTCCTTCCAGATTTAAAAATTTGACTTTCTGTGCCATTGAAAGAGTTCATGGGATGAGTTAAATTCTTTTCATCTAAATTATGCAGCTTATAAGGAATGCTGAAACTCCAAGGAAGAACTGTACTTGTATGTACATGTGTGTGTGCACGCATGTACACACACTCACAGGAAATACATCTTCCACTATACCGACTGTGGGGCAGTCCGTCCCTATTTTCTTTCTTACCTTCCCCTCTCAAAACAGATTCTGGAAATCCCAAACGATTCTGATTTTATATCCGCTTATTAGGAAAACCTGAGGAAGCAGGATAGTTGCAAGATCAGAGAAGTTCTTCTGGTGTCCTAAGCTTGGATCCAACCTACAAGAAATTCTGTGTGAACACCTTTTACAGTTCAGTGATAGCTTCAGAGATGCTCCAAGATTTGGCAGTGTAGGCTAGAGAGACCTGTTACGACCACTCGTTTATCTCCATATCCTCATATAAAAACCACCCTGGTGGTTAGGCCTGACTAAAATTCAAGTGTGGGCTCAGACCAACCCCAGTCTTTAGAAACTATCTTGGGAGCCCACTAACTCAGTATTAGACTTTCCTTACTTTTGATCCAATTCTTATCTTTGTAAGCCATTTCATGGGCTTTGGTTGGGTCCCTCTGATGACTCCTCTGGATGGGCTCAGTGACATTCGATGGCACTTTCTGTGATGACAGACCAACCAGTTACTGCCACTTGGATCTTTGCTAGCTCGCCCTCTTTAGGTTGGTAAGGACCCTGTCTAACCTTGGCCAGAGGTACCTTTTTCTGCCTATTATTTATCTCCCATAAACTGGAACAACATCTCCTAGAAAAGCAGGACTCTGATCACACATACTGTAGATTTAGAATTATATATATGTTTGTAGTTAGAGTTAGGTATATTTTAAACCAGCATTTCCAAGTTGACTCATGGAACATTAGTCCTAAAAGATATTCAATTAAGAAAAGATGTGTATGGGGGGGGGGGGCATAGTGAGGTAGGGATTCCTGATCAAGATTAGGAAATAATGCTACCCTGACTTCCTCCTAGACCTTTCAATGGTATATCCTACAGCAAAGAAACTGTGCGCCTTTGTGCGTGCCAGTGTGTTCCAGCTCTACCTGACTACTGACCCAACCTTTCCCTAGTACTTCTGTTAATATATGATGTCCTGTAAGAAATGCTACTTAAGATAAGGAGGCAATTTTTAAATTAAAGTATGTAGTTGCCAGTAAAATATTGTGGCTTTTGATGCTTGTCAGGAAAGTAAGTGTTAAGGACTTAACATGGAAGTTGAGAAATATTCGTGATATTGCTGATACTATTATTTCCATCATGGTTGAAACATTGCACCCTTGTCATAGAAATACTGCTCCCATTTCACCACAGGTCCAGGGTTCACCAGAACAGTAACACTGACAGATCTCTGTTGATACTCTAATACCATGTTTATTTCACCTTCTTTTCTTTCAGTTGACCAAAAGGCAGGACGATTCATTTGATTTTCTTTTTGACTATCAAAACAATAGCAGTAAGCATCGTGGGTTTTGGAAAGTTTGACATCTTTGTAAAGGTGTTTATTGGCTACACTGATTTTCAGAGTTACAGTTTTGTATTCTTTGGGTACACTCACTTAAGTAGTTGTATTCTCCTCAAATCTGTTTCTGATGGTCTGCATGATTCTACCATACACAGTTCCTGAAGATCAGAACCGTAGAAATCCTCATGACTTCATCTAAACCATCAGCCTTTAGCTCTGACTCAAAATAGAGCTCCAGGTCTGTTCATTTCTTCATTTCCACTGCTTACAAACTCAATGCAAGCCCCTCTCTCTCTCCACTAAGCTAGTGCAGGCCTCTTTGCTGGGCTTCCCCCTCCAATCTTACCTACCATAGACCACCCTCAACACAGAAACCAGAGGGGTTTTTGTTTTTGTTTTGGTGTAAATCATATTTGTTTCAAACCCTCCATTGATTTCCTCAGTACTTAAAAGAAAAATCCAAACCCTTCCATGTCCTGATAGCCTGGCCCCTGCATATCTCTCTGCCCTCACGGCCTCTCTACTCTTGGGCCATACTTGGTCCTATTTCTGTTCCCGGAATGCACCAGGTTCATTCCTGGAAATCCCAACAATAGTTCTTCCCTTTCCCCCTCCCTCCCTCCCTCCCTTCCTCCACCACAGATGACACTCTGCGTACCTGGCAGTCTGATCACCTTGTTTTATTATTCTCATACCACTTACACTCTCTGGATTTATTTTGCTCATTTGTCTGTCTTTCCCAAAAATGTGAACAAAGTCTTTGTTTTTGGGTTCACTATTGTTCCTAGCCTCTGGAGTGGTGCTGGCACATGGTAGCTGAAGAAAGGAATAAATGAATGAACACAAGGAAATAATAACTGAAAGTGTTAGGTATTTTGTTTCCTTTTGACTTCTGGTGATACTTTTGATACCTGATTATAAAAGAATCAAATGAAACTCTTAAGAAACCTGTTCAGAAAAAAACATTATTAAAGCATGTAAAGCCCATGAACTGAAATGTTTAATCCTTGTTTAGTAGAGGATTATCTTGTGATCATGAAGTAGATCATTGGACACATCCAGTAACCGACACGAACATATCACCATCTAAATTATTTTTGTGTTGTATACTCAGTCCCTAAAGGCCTCATTTAACCCCAAACTAGTATCATTATTAGGACTCTCAGTATATACCATTTTAGAGTGTGGCGAAGCGCCCACCTCTATCAGGGGGGTCTTAACATACCTCCCACAGTTGATTAATTGTATATAAAATAGAAGAAACTAGGCCCTGTGAACGAGTAGCAGCAGCAAGGTCAAAATGGAAGGTGTACAAGAACAACACAAACTCCTCAAATTCGTTGTGAGGGATCCGGGATTTCAACTGCTTTGGGATTTAATTCATGAGGCCCTCTGTTTAGAGTTCTCTTAGATGGAGTTTTAAGTAAGTGATTATTCTTGCTGTTTTATGAAACAGTGGCAGAGCTGTGAGATGAGTGGGTAGATCTGTATTAACAAGTATGTGGGGCTGTTTACATGGAAGCAAACAATAGGAGATGATTACGAATGTTTTAACTTGCTCTACGCAGCTTGTATTTCTGAGCATAATATGTAAGAGACTGCAATGATTTGATTTCCAGATTGAAGACTATGATGTGATAGCCAGCATGATAGGAGCCAAGTGTAAAAAACTCCGAACTCTGGATCTGTGGAGATGTAAGAATATCACTGAGAATGGGATAGCAGAACTGGCTTCTGGGTGTCCGCTTCTGGAGGAACTTGACCTTGGCTGGTGCCCTACTCTGCAGAGCAGCACCGGCTGTTTCGCCAGACTGGCACGCCAGCTCCCCAACTTGCAAAAACTCTTCCTTACGGCCAACAGATCTGTGTGTGACACAGACATTGAAGAACTGGCATGTAATTGTACCAGATTACGGCAACTGGACATATTAGGTAAGGATACAATGTATATGTTTGTTTTATTTTTTATTTTTTTTTAATTTTTTAAAGATTTTTTTTTTTAATTTCTGGGAGAGTGCAAGTGGGGGAGGGGCAGAGAGAGGTAGACAGGATCCAAAGCAGGATTTCACTGACAGGCTGACAGCAGCAGGCCCAATGGGGGGCTCAGACTCACAAACTACAGGATCATGACCTGAGCTGAAGTCGGAAGCTCAACTGCCCGAGCCACTCAAGTGCCCCATGTATAATTTTTTTTTTAAAGTCTTGATGTGAAAGGCAATCCCAGACTTTTTGCAAGGAAAAAAAAACTTCTTGCGTTCAATAAAATTTTGTCTTCATAAGCCGGCTTGGTTTGAGGAAGTGCAGGATAGGCCAGTTGATACAGAGAGTAATTTTATCTGTACTTAGGTAAAAGAGTGAGGACAGTAACAGAATTTTATAGTTGAACCTATCAGAAAGCTCTAAATAAACATTAATTTTTGGTCTAGTAAGAAGAGTGAGAATTTATGTGAGCTATGTTCTCCATTTTTATTACAGACAGAGAAGAAATTAATCCATTTGTATAATGAGTTATATATGTGTATGTATGTATATATATGAATGTGTGTATATATATATATGCACGTGTGTATATATGTGTATGTATATATTTGTATATACAAATGTATATATATACATACGTATATGTATATATATACACATATACACACGCATATATACACACATTTATACAAATGGATTGTATACATATGTATGTATATGTATATATATACATACATAATACTTCTTGATGTTAAACTCGTAATTAAGGGATATTGTCAAATCTTCATTTCTGATAATTCTATACATTAGGAGTAATTCTACCCCAAGGCAGATCTACTGAAAATTCTTTCCAGTTATGGGATTCCTTCCTTGTGTCCTTGCAGTTTATCAGCTGGGATCCCTGTGAGGCTTTGTTACTTCTTACTTTAGCTAGAGTGTTGGCAGCACCATAGTTAAAACTGCCCAAATGACTGGTACTTTGTGAACTAACATAGCACTTTTACTGTGTTCTCTGGTAATCTGTTAGTGTTAATAGGTTAGTCCATGGACGGGAGTCTATCCTTTCCTGTCTATTAAACATTCAGCAACAGGAAAACCTGAAGATTTTCAGCATCTGAGTTTGTGGTTTCCTTGAAAATCTTTGCACAGTCCAGGTTTATGATATATTTATGTGGATGTTGCTTATGTGGTTGCATGTTACTTATTCAAGTACTTTTAGGCAGAAACTCTTGCATAAACTTTAGGGAGAAATTCTTGCCTGTTACATGTACTCTTTGGGTTGGATGCCTCATCTATGTTATTTTCTTTATTCTTCATAGCTCAGGGAATTGGATACCATTGTTTTTTCGTAGAAGAGGGACTAGAGCCCAGCAATTAATATATGCCAGAGCAGGGGTTCAAATGTAAGGTTTGGGGCCCCAAAATAGTGAGTACTCTTTTTTCATAACACCACGACTGCTTTCCTTGCTTACTTCTTTTCCTTCCTGCCCACCTACCACCTTGAATTAGTTAGTCAAAATGTTTTATGGGAGAAATATTTTTGGAAAGTTCAAGAAAATGAGAGAGAATGAAGAAAGATAGCCGAGGCCTTTAAAATTAGATCATTGATTACATTAGGCTTCACCTCAGAGGATAGGGGCTGGCATTGGTTAATACCTGTTTTATAGTCCCCTCCCCCCAGAACCTCATACAGTAGAGATGAAGAGTAGCCAGTGTCTGAAAGAGATGCTGCAGAACCACAAAGAAGTCGGTAACGCTGATCCTTAGACAAAAGCACACTTGTGAACTGTGGGGCTGGTAGTCAGGTGGTCTAACAGCCTACAAACATATGAATTACTTGACAAAAACATAAAATAGGTAAGAAGTATAATGGCTTCTTTTTTGAAAACATTTGTAACTTTCCTGAACAAGAGCAAGGAAACATGGAGAGTTCCAGTCCAACATGGCAACATAGAAGACTCTGAACTTAACCTCCACAGAACACAGCAACTCACACCTACTTACAAAACAGTTCCTCCTGAAAGAACTGAGGGCTGACTCAACAGCTTCTGCACAATCAGATAGAATGGCAAGAGAACGCAAGAATAACTGAGACACAGTAACAAAGGGAACCCCCCACCCTTACAAGGCCAACAGCAGTAGGGAGGGATAGTACTGAGGACCAGGAACAGATCTCTCAGTCCTTGGGCACAAGAAAAAAGCCTAAGCAGAGAAGAGCAACTGGCACATAAAAGACACAATAGTAGAACTCTACCAAATGACCCCTCACCCCCCACCTTAAAAGCCTAGACTCCAGCAGGATCTGGACACCAGTGGGTCCGGTCATCAGAGTGCACCTGTGACCTCAGTGAGATCAGGGTCCACAAGCCCACCTTGGGGGCGGTGGCATGGGGGCTTTTGTTGTGTGTGTGGTTTTGATTTTGTTTTTGTTTATTGTTTCTTTTTTTCTTTTTTCTACTATTACTACTACTACTTCTCCTTCTTCTTCTTCTTTAAATTTTTTTTAATGTTTAATTTATTTCTGAGAGAGAGAGACACCACAAGCAGTGGAGGGTCAGAGAGAGAGGGAGACACAGAATCTGAAACAGCCTCCAGGCTCTGAGCTAGCTGTCAGCACAGAGCCTGATGCGGGGCTCGAACCCACGAACTGTGAGATCATGACCTGAGCCAAAGCTGGACACTTAACCAACTGGGCCACCCAGGTGCCCCCTTCTTTTTTTTCTTCTTCTTCGTCTTTGTCTTCGTCTTCATCTTCGTCTCCTTCTCCTTCTCCTCCATTATCATTATCAGTATTAGTATTAGTATTAGTGTTTTCTTTCTAAAAGCCATGGTTTAAAAGAGCAACTAGCATGTAAAAGAATCAACCCTAGAACTCCACCCAACAGTAGGGATTGCTGCTAGAATGCTCTCTGGGTGGGAGGAGCTAATGTACACAGTCTGCACTCCCCCTCCACCTTGAAAGCACAGACCAGTGCACAGTCTGGCACCCTGACTGATCTGGTGCCTCAGTGAACCCTGGGCCCTTACCCCACACCATCCCCACCTGTCCTACCCAGGCAGCCACAGCGTACACACCAGGACTCCCCTGGTTGGTGCTCACTCCAGTCCCAGTCTTCACACCAAGGTGACACAGGTGCAAATATCCCAGAACACTCCAGGCCCAACCACACTGGCAGTAAATGACTTGCTGTGGCACCCACAGTGCAGAGTGCTCCAGACCATCTTGGCTGAGGTCTGCTTCCGATCCAGCCATCCTGCCAGGTGCCTCCTGTGTGGAGCACCCCGGGAGTCCCAGGCCCATGCCCACGTTGATTTCAGCCCAGCCTGCCAGGACACACCCTGTGTGGAGCACCCCAGAACACTTCCATCCATGCCAGCCTCAGCTCCAACCACCCAGCCAGGGCGCCTGCTCCGTGGAACACCATGGGACAACCTGACCTGCACCCAGTTCAGTTTCAGCTGTCCTAGCAGGGCACATTTTGTGTGGCGAGCCCAGGGACCACATCTTAGCTTTAGTCGTCCTGCCAAGGCATCCCCTGCATAGAACATTCCAGTACCTCCCATCCTGTACCCCACCCCAAATACAGCCACCATTCAGGGAACCATCTATGTGGAGAATCCAGGAACACCAGAGTTTATATCCATTTCTGCTTCAGCTGTCCTTCCAAGGTGCCTCTGTGTGTAGAGCCCCACGTCTCCTCAGCTTGCACCAACTTTCGTTTCAGCTCTCCTGCTAGGGTGCCTTCTGCACAGAGAGCTCAGGGATCTCCTGGCCTGCACACCACATCAGCTCCAGCCATTCCGCCAAGGTACCTGTGCAGAGCACCCTGGGACACTCTGGCTTGCACCCATTTCAGCCTCGGCTATCCTTCTAGCGTGCCCTCTGTGCATAGAACCCTGGGACATCCTGACCTGCATCTGCTTCAGTTTTAACTGTTCTGACAGGGCACTCACTGTGTGAAATGTGCCAGGTTCCCCCAGGCCATGCCAGCCACAGCTCCAGCCAGCCAGCCAGCAAAAGTCACCAACCATATAGTCTGTATAGGAGATGACCAAACACAAGACCATTCCTTTGAGTTCAGGAGAAGTAGCTGTACATCCTAATCCTTAGAAATAAACACAGAAAGTCAAGCAAAATGAGGAGACAAAGGAGTATGCTCCAAAAGAAAGAACAAGAAAAATACTAAGTGAAACAGATATAAGGAGTATTCCTGAGAAAGAATTTAAAGTAATGATTATAAAAATACCAGGCTGGATAAAACAGTGGAAGAACCCAATGAAACCCTTTTTAAAGAGATACCCAGTAAAGATATAAAAGAGATAAAAAATATAAACAAGAACCAATCACATAGTTGAAGAATACAATAACTGAAGTAAAGAAAACACTAGAAGGAATACAGATTAGCGGATGCAGAAGAATGTATCAGAGCTCTGGAAGACAGGGTAATGGAATGCACCAGAGATAAACATCAAAAAAAGACTTTTTAAAAATGAGGATAGAGTAAGAGATCTCTTAAACAACACCAAGCAAACAAACATTCACATTACAGGGGTCCTAGAAGAAGAAGAGAAAGAAAGGGGTGGAAAAACTTAAAGAAACAGTAGCTAAAATCTTCTCTAATCTAGGAAAGGAATTAAACATCCATATCAAAGAAGAGAGTTTCAAACAAGGTGAGCCCAAGGAGGTCCACACTACAACACATAGTAATTACATTTCAAAGGTTAAAGATAAAGAGAGTCTTTAAAGCAAGAGAGAAACAAAGTTGCCTAAAGGGAAAACCAATGAGACCATGAGCTGATTTTTCCTCAGAAACTTTGCAGGCCAGAAGGAAGTGGCATGGTACATTCAAAATGCTGCAAGGAAAACACCTACAACCAAGAATACTCTACTCAGCAAGGTTGTCATTCAGATTTGAAGGAGATAAAGAGTTTCCCAAACAAAAAAAATAAAG